AATGTAGATGTATCCTTATGTGTCTGCAGTGTCTGTGACAGAGAAACTAAAGCCATTCCTCTGCTAGGACAGGATATGAGGCGTCAGCTGCTACCATGGTAGCCAATCTAATCAGATACTCTGCGATGTATTGAATTTGTCATGGTAATGATATTTAGCTGATCAGATTAAGTAAGAAAAAAAAACATCTGAATCATCTGAGTACGCCGGCAGGGCCATGGTGAGGCACGCTTGGAGAGGAAATGAGGAAATGCACATGTGATTAGCGGGAATGAATTAATCTGTATGTAACACATTTATAAACAAATCCAAGAAAAAAAATGCATGGTTTATGCTCAAAATATTGATGAAAATAAAACAGTGTCACAGAGAAAAGCTGAAGTTGCTAGGCGCAGAGGTAAATTATATAAAAGCATTTTTTAAACCTGCATTCAAACACATGCACAGCTTATTAAAACATCAGTGAAAAGGCTCATTCATCTACCGGTCGACTGAGCAGTGATCCACTTTGCAAAGCAGAGAATATAATGCAGTGCAGGGACTTCAGCTCCTCATCATTTAGGTAAGTCATAAACAAGCGGGACACTAATTAATACTTAGGCATTGATTCTGTGTTTACTGGACTACAGAGTAACAACTATAAGCAGTGTTAGACCTATGAGAACGGCTAATTAAGCCAAGTTGGTCAGCCTCTGCGGTTTAGTTTGCAGGGTTTAGTTTACAGACATACCTGGTTATCTTAAAAGGTGGGTTGCCTGAAATAACATTAGGGTAGTTTACTTTGTTTTGTTTAGGTGTAATATTCACAGAGCTATCCAGATATTTTAAAAGTGTGAGTATAATGGATATCTCTTATACTCACACTTATTAAAATATCCGTGCTTTGTTTTGTTTGAATTAATATCGTACTGTAGGGTCTTCAAAATAGAATAGATTGGAATTGATACAAAAACATTGATACTCTGAAAAATAATGATACCTAAACGCCGTATGCAGATACAATATTAATTTGGCATGGTATCGATACTAACGGCAGGTGTTGGCATATGTGTATTATTGTTCATTTAAGATTTCTGGATAATTTTTAGATTAACAGAAAAATACCTTAAACTTCAAATATTGTCAATATTATATGTGGGTTATTTATTTAGCATCTATTTCTACACTTATTTTACTATCATCTGTGCTTCTGTTCTGCACCATTTTTTATTAAAAAAAGAAACTGGTTGAATATTTCTATGCCTTTTTAACCTTTTTTAAATCCCCATAGTATAAAATGGTATTACAGTAGTAGCCAGTCAAAATTACCCCACTTTCCTTGATGGGTCCCTGCCTGGTCCCGTACAATTTATTTTTAAACATAAATCTTTTTACTAAAATATAATTTAGTCATGATTTGTGGACATTAAGATCTAAAGAGAAGCGTCAACTCCTGGACAGACCCTGTAAATCTGTGAAAGGGTGGAGTTGGAGTAAAAAAATATGCACGTCCAGGTGAAAGAGGGGGTCACTCCAGTGGCTGGAAGTTGGAGGGGATTCTGCTGGGAGTTGCAGGGAAGTCTGCTGCCATTAGGCTGGAGTTTGACTGGGAAGGGCCATTTTGAATGGCTACGACTTTATTTATTGGATACTTTCCTGAGTATTAATATCAAGTTTGAAATGTTAGTATTGATACCCCTGTTCTGTTTAAAGTTGTAGGGAAGTCATATTTAAATGTCAAATTATTTTAAAAAAATCCTGTCTTTTTATCTGTGGGTTTGTTTTTTTTTTTGTTTTTTTGTCGTTATCTTATGAAGGCCAGTTAGTTATACGTCAGCTTGTACACCTAAATTCGGCCAATCGTATATCAACGGTCATCTGTCAATCACATCGGTCATAGCATCTAGATTCATATGTCGCAGCTAATATACGCAACGGTTGAAATAAGAATAATTTCCTTTCCCATTGAGTTGGAATTTCCCATTGGGAACCTACTAGCACTAAGTTGCTAACTGGTTAGCAAGCTGCTTCCGAGACACCAGCTACAGCCAAAACATGTGAATGTTCCGCCACAACAACCCCGCCCTCTTGATAAACTACCAATCACATTCACTTTATTCACTCGTGTAAAGTTGTGCAGTAATCAGGAGAATTCGGAAATGCAATAGGATTTTTATTTTATTTTATTTTTTTCCTCTGAGCTTCTTTTGTTTTTTTCTCCCTTATTTCATGCCGGTAGCTCGGACAGACAGTCTGAAGGACAGCTGCTCCAGAATAAATGGCCTAATAGTTCATTCTGACGTTGAGCATTGCCCTTAAGGACATTTTGATTGGAGCTGCTGAAGTCAGCATGAACATTTTCTTTGTTACCACCTGCAACTATGAAGCTGCTTCTGCTGTTTTCACCTTGCGATTCTTGGCACATACAGTACACATGTGTGTGTTTGTGTTGCCGTGTGAAAGTCTTCTCCTGTTGACACCTGCTGATGTGGGACATTTATCAAATTTGTTTTGGACTAGTTGGTTCTGAAACCTAGCAGGTGTGTGACTGTGTCGTCCTACAGGCAGACCTTAAAGAGCAGCTAACGTCCAGGACATGTGTTAGACTTTTCTTTGCTGTCCCACATTTTATGTCATGTTTTACTCAATCAAGATAATTCCAGGACAGGGAAAAAAAATCTAGAAGAGAGCATCAATGTCCTAGAAAATACCAGAATACAGAAATGTAGAGAAATATGATAAAACTAAAATATAAATAATTAATCAGCAAATCAAATGGATTCTTGTAATAAGAGAAGTTAAAAAAAATTATAAATAGAAGATTTTAGTATATTATTGGACAAAGGAAACTGTTATTTATGGAAAAAAATAAAATAAATTATACTATAAAATACCTAACCCTAAAGGTGCATTTTCAAGTGGTTTCTGAAGTCTGTCAGGGAAATTCGAATTAGAACCCCAGCCCTCCTCCAGAGGATTTTGTGCAGGTTGCCAGGTCAAAAGAGAACAAATACGTAGTGCTGTTAAATACAAAATGACTGATGTTGATTCATGTTGAGCAAATCCTACTGAAGGCCTCTTAGGTCGTGTTGAGACTATTTCAGGTCCTCTTCTCTTGCTGGCTTCCATGTTTGCAGACTGCTGCTTTTTTGCCAACATAAAATGAAATGCTGTGCTCCGTTGTGGCAGCTCACATATGATTGGCTCAGGAACCAGGAAGTGAACACCGCTTCAACACTGCGCCGAAGTAGTTCAGCACTGTACCTCCAAATGGACACTGTTGATGGAGAAGACTGAATGTTTACAGTAATGTTGTGACAACCTGCTTGTTGCACAGAGCTGGCTGCACCGTTATTCCTAAACCCTCCTGCTTGTTCACAGCTCAAGACATGCCTTATTTACGCCCATTGAACACATGCACTTACCTGATTGGTCCACTGTTCAATCTGGCTCCTAGCTCCAGTTTGAAAAATGTCAGTGTCTCAGCAGACAGCGTAACAGAAACAACTGCTGCTACTACTTCTGCATATTCCGTTCTGTCAACCAGAAACAAAGTCCATCCGAGGCTGTTTAATCCCTCGTGCTAGCAGTCTTTTGCCTCTGTTCTGCTGCATGAACACCACCGATCATTAAGGAAAAAGAGAAAACCCAACAAATAAACTTAATTCTATGCTCCTGCCGTGCCATCTCCATCCCATTTATTTTTTAATGGTTTTGGTTGGTTTGGTCCGGTGAATTTCTAACCTATTCCTCCTTTAAAGTTATAGTTAAATTATCCTTAACATTGTGTAACAGGAATCAGGCAGATGCTGACAGTCACTTCACTTTAAACCAGTCAGCTGTTTCATCAGCCTGATAGTTAAATTAAGCTCATATTTGAGCTAAAATCCTTAATTCTAGAGATCTAAAAGCTGCATTAGAGAAGCAGGATTCACACTGTTTATTTTACATTGTTCAGCTTTTTATAAATGAACTTTTTGAGCCTAGAGTTAACTTTATTTAGATATTTAGCTGTGCTAGCCTGCCCTATAGCTAGCCGGCAGCAGGCTGTTTATTTTACCCACAGACATGCTGCCTTTGGTAGCTTGTGGCGAACATTTGTTTCAAAGCTCGATTACAGAGTGAAATGGGTTTTTTTCCCCCCTTATTTAGCCTAAATAGCCAGCTGATGCGTTCATAGTGGCTGAGCTGCTCCGTGCTTAGCATGCTGGAAAACCTTTAACAGTCAGTAGTACAACATGAACAAAAGACTATTACCACCTTCTCCTTTCAAAGGGTCTCCTCCATCTAGTGGTTAAATGTTCCTGACTGAAAGCTGCTGCTGCCTGGGATCTTTGCTGTAGAATGAAATACTCTCTGCAAAGTGCTTTCCATCTCTTGAATTGAGCAAATAGAACCAGAAATACTGGAAATAAGAGATGATCTGGACCTAAGGCCACTACAGGCTCGGTGATGGAACAATAGGATGGCATTTGGTTCTTCCAGACATCTAATCTCTCTGTTCTTGCAGAGAATGCATTAGTCTTTTTTCTGCATTATAATCCAGGTTAAGTATTAGAGCTGAATCTTGCTGTTTAATTGGAGTGTGTGGGAAAGAATTTAATTGATTACATTCTGAATATTTATATAGGAATCTCACTCCTTTGTCTTGTAAAGATGGCAGCCGTTGCAGCGATTTGCCAGAACATAAATGAACTGATCTGTAATGAAGTGATCTGTGCAGCTGTTGTCTCATCAATGCAGAGGTTAAGAAATTTGACCTCTTTTTTTTTTTTTTTTTTGGGTCCTACAGTCCAAATCCTTTTTACAAATCCAACTGTTTTCTCCTTATTGGCTCCGTTTTGTTGAATAAACAAAACACTTTGTATATGTTTAGAAAGGAGTCAGAGTTTATTAACCTTGTTGCTGTTTCTGGGTTTAAGTTTGTGTGTTTTGAGGCGGTGAAAATGGTTTCATCCCCTTCATTAACTTGATCTCTTGTATGTGTTTGTGTGTACATGTGCGTATGTTCTCTCTTCCAGCGATGCCAACCTAGCAGACGTGCTATCCGACACGGAGGAGTGTGATTTGGGCAGTCTGGAGCACTTGGAACGAGGCAGCACAGACACTCTGGCCAATGGCTGCCGGGTTGACTCTGAGGCGGCCAAGAGGCTGGCCAAGCGCCTGTATCACCTCGATGGTTTCAAGCGCTGCGACGTGGCCAGACACCTGGGCAAAAAGTGAGCAAAAGTGAACCCCAGATGGAGGGAATAAATCATCAAACTTTCCTCTTTTTGGTGATGACTACTAAAACCACAGATTAACACTTTCTAGGAAATCCTTGTATTTACATCCACCTGTACTTTAAGTTTTCTGTCTCAAGCTTCAGTATTGGTGAGGTCAGTCATAAGGAGCCGTGATCCTCTATGTTTTAAGTCTTTCTCTGTTGAAACACACATAGATGAAATAATAGATCTTACGCTACGTTCACGCCGCAGGCTGAAGTGACCCAAATCCGATTTTTTATATTTTTTTTGGCCCATATGTAACCTGTATCTGATCTTCTCATGGCTGTCTGAACAACACGGATCTGATTTTTTTCCAATACGACCCAGGCCACTTGGCTCTGTGGTCCTGAATCCGATACGAATCTAATCTTCTCAAATGCGACCTGTGTCTGAACATAAAGGTCGCATTCACCTGACCTGAACGCCATTAATACCCAACAAACATCATTATTCTGGGTCTTGCTATGAAAAAAGGGCAAGAAAAAAACAGCCTTGGCAGACAATGATGCTGAGAGTAGTATTTATGTTTAACCATCTTGAAAAGATTGTTTTTTTATGGTTGGGAAAGATTGCTAGATGCGCTCCATCACTACCATCCATGTTTACTTCCGTAAAAGCAGAGCACGCTTGCTTGTGACATCATTGCATCCTCTACTGCAGCGGTCCCCAACCTTTTTTGCACCACGGACCTCTATATGTCAGACAATATTTTCACGGACCGCCCGGGGGTGCGATGGGGGGGTTGGGGTACGATCAAGTAAAATGATACGACTGGCATAAAATCAAATACAAACAGCATAAAAATAAAACAACAAGCCGGTCCCATCTAGGCGTAATCGGAGACAATGACAGACGATGTGTGCTCCTGATGTCCTGTCTGCTCCGTAGCTTTGTTTTGGTCGCTGTAACCGCAGATAATCCCGCTTCACAAAGATAGGATGTTATAAATAGGATGAGTCTTGAACTGAATTAACCTGTGTCAAGAGGCACAGATGCACCGACTGATGTAATTGGGAGAGAATACCGCAATTTTTTATATTTTTCAAAATAAAACATCACTCAGACTCTGATCGTCGATAAATTTTATATATATATATATATTTTTTTTTTTTTTTCTGTGCGGCCCGGTACCAAATGACCCACGGACCGGTACCGGTACGCGGCCCGGTGGTTGGGGGCCACTGCTCTACTGCGCATACTGGCGTTGTATGACTGCAGTTCACACAGGAGATCACATACAAGTTGCATATATTTGGAAATGTGAACGGCAATGCAAAAAAGAAAAGAAAATCAGATTTCATAAAAAAAAATCTGAATTGAGCATCAAGGCCTGCCAGTGTGAACGTAGCATTAGAGAATGTAGCAGTGCTGAGCTGGGACATCATGCTAAACTCTACCCCTGAGGACTGGAGTTAGACGACCCTGTTCTAGAGAAACACATTTTTGAATAGTTTCTTAAAACTATTCAAAAATAAATCAATAAATCAGGAAACGGATAAATCTAGTTACTTTTTTCATCTAAAATGTCTGAATTGGCCGATTGAATAACTAATTCAGTTCAGCTTTTACATATAAAATGTTTGACATCATTAAAACATTTATTGACTAAGGAAGTACATATCTGAAAACAAAGTCTTCTAATCTACAGGGGTTTGTCAAGTGTTTCAAAACATTCATGGCAATAAATGTATGGAGATAAAAAAAAAGAAAATAAAGATAGCTAAACCTTTTAAAAACTCTTTTAATATTTTTGGACATCCACAGGTTTTAAGTGGTTTTTAAATAATAAAAATGTTAAAAAATAATGGTTTTCAAACAATGTAACAATATAAAATATACTTTATAATAGAATTAAACACTATACCTAAAAAAATCAGGATGGTACTTCCAGGGTTTCCATGTAAGAAATGAGAGTAAACTTTCAGGATAACACAGGGAAAGTAAAGGGCAAGTCAGAGATTTTCAAGGTCAAATAAATTCTCATGACCTTGAAGCTGCTTGTCTTCAACATGGATGAAGTTTTAGTTTCTGACGTGATGAACAAATCATGGAAACATTTAGCCTTTGGTTTTCACCTTTCGGTTTTGTACTGTTATTACTGAATCTATAAGGCTGTCCTCCATCTTCTCTCCTAAAGCATGCTGAACTCCGCCCACATTACGCCCCGCAGCTTATCGGCGTCTTGTTTGCATCTAACTGCTATCTCAGCTAAATCTGCAGTAAACATCTGATAGCGGATCTCTCCCCGCCACAGAGAGTACGCTAACGAAATGTTGCTTTGATTGATTGAATTTTAGTAACACGGTGTGTCAAAAATATGTAAAAAGTAATGACTTAGATTACTTTTTGAATGAAAAGAAACGAACACAGTTATTATGTAGAGCAGCTAATCTTTACACTAAATTAGCAAGGAGTACAGTATAGATTTTAAGCTATTCTCAATTTATAGAGGAAAAAGGTTTTAGGACTCATGAAACAACTCGTCTCATTTTTATTGAATTTTTATTAAAATTAAATGTTTACCAACAGGAGCAAATATGAGTTTAAAAAAGCTACATACTCTCCTTAAGACATCCCACATTTCCAAGGATTCATCGCAGTTTAAAGCGGATGGTTAAGCTCAAACAGCATCCTAGACTTTCTATGACCCAAAATGAATTTTAAAAATGCCTTTAGTCAATAATGTAGCTTTGTTAAAGTCAAATAGTCTGCTTGGTTGGTAAAGATTACATTGAACTTAAAAAAAAAAAAAAAAAAAAAAAAGTCTTGGGAACTGTTTTCAAAAGACGAGAAAACTTCTTTCTGAGGCCTGAGGATGTCCTAAAATGAAGTTACATTAGGCCTATGGTGGCTTTGAGCAGCTGCAGAGATGCACCGCTCAGGTGGGAGAATCTATTGACAGAACTCCTGAACTACAGTAAAAGTTCCTTCTCGCCAAGAGTAATTTAGGACCCAGAAAACATGCATTTTTGGCCAGTTATAAAGACCGTGTGGTTTAAAGCTACGACACATCACCCAGGCCACAAAGAGTGTTTCCATTCCGACTAGACTTGATGTTGCAAAGAAGAGCAGGCGAAGAATTCAGTCCATAGATGTGCAAACATATTTAAGACACACCGCAAAGATGTTCTGCTTGTAATTACAGCAGAGCAGTGACTCACTGTGGCTGGATGCAGAATGCATTCCACACCTAATCCATCAATGATCTTACGTCCGCTTCACCATAACTTCCTTGGTCTGTCACATAAAGGTCTAATAAAAACATCGAATTATGGGGAAAATCTAACGGGTTATGAATGTTTTGATGCAACGCTTCATCCCTGCACACGTCTTGATGTCACATATACATTCTGATGCCGGTTATTTCCGTCTCTCTGCAGCAACGACTTCAGTCAGCTGGTGGCTTCAGAGTATCTGAGCTACTTTGATTTCTCCGGCCTGTCCCTGGATCGAGCCCTGAGGTAACGCTGACTCTTTATTTAGGAGGTGTGTTAGACAGTAGGTCTACACACACATCTTTATTATATCTCCTGCCAGTGCATTAGCTTTGAGCTAAGCTTGGCATCAGCTTGGCATGTTGATGTCGTTCATCCAGTGCAGCTGACATGGTGTGGAGCTGATGAAACACAAATGTTTACAGACAAGCTGCCGCGGTTTACAGGGAAGTTCTTCTCTAATCTTTAAAGGACTTTTTTGTATGTTGCAGGAACTTCTTAAAGGCCTTTCCACTGATGGGAGAAACTCAGGAGAGAGAGCGGGTCCTCGTCCATTTCTCCAGACGCTATTGTCACTGCAACCCACAGACACCCACCTCTGAAGGTTAGAGTCGTAAAGGAGGTGCAGCCAGTTTTATTCAACTATCACTGTAACATTCAGCCGCTAAAGGATACTATACCTGTATCCTACAAGTTTAACTCACCTAGTGCACTGTAAAAAAAAAATTAACCAGTTAAAATAAGATAATTATATAAAAAAAAAAAGGATAAAGTACTTGATTGAAAATGAAAGGAAATTTGGTCTGAAAACTTAACTGATGATGTTTAGATTAGATTAGATTCAACTTTATTGTCATTACACAGGTACAAGGCAACAAAAGGCAGTTTAGGTCCAAACAGAAGTGCAATAGCAGCATGAGCAGGATAAATAAATAAATCAAAGTCCAAAATGTGTTTTCAATTTGAAATTAAAGCAACTTAGGATTTCAGAGCTTTTTCAGTTTTCTTTGACGCTTCTCAGTGTTTGGTTCTGGTTCTGGGTTTGCAGAGTAGATTTAAACCAGTAGATCTGAGACGTCTGGCTGTCGATCCACTGACAACTAGTCTGTAATGTGTTTTGGAGCAAAGCAAGTCAGTGATTTATAGTCTAAAAGAAGTTTATTCTCTGAGAAAGTTTGAGTCATTGGAAAGGTTTTAGAACTGGGCAGATGTTCTCTACTTTCTTAGTTTTCAAGAGGAAGCAGGCAGCAGCCTTTAGGATCAGAGTCTGATCGACTTTAAGGCAGAACTGTGAAGACACTGCTGCATGGATCAATTCTACTGAAGATAAATGAAGCAGGAACTTTTCAAGTTCAAGGTCCTGCTGGAGATGTTAATCCTTTAATCCTGGAGACGTTCTTCACGTGAATTTCTTCAGGTGACAGGATGACTTTTTTCCTGTCTTTATGAGTCTCTGAAGATTCAGATCTCAGTGCATCACTGCACCCAGATTTACATCCTTATTGCTTTCTATCTGGATTAACTGGAGCTGTATGCTAACTTTCAAACGCTGTTCCTTTGGTCCAAAAATAACTTCAGTTGAGGAAAGTTTTGTCCCATCCTTGGCTTTATTTCTTCTGTGCATTTACCCAGAGCTGGAATTGGGTCATAGTGACCTGGAGACATGGTGATGTACAGCTGGGTGTCATCTGCATAGTGACGGTGATTATTAGATTATTGATTATTAAGATCTGAATTAGGGTGAGGATGTAGATATTGAATAGGAGGGGCACTAAGATCACTGCAAAAAATCTAAATCTAGATAAGTCATTTTTTCTTAAAATAAGTGCATTTTTTCTTGAATTGGGTAGGTAAAAGAGACATTTTGCCAATGGAACAAGACAATTTACACTTAAAATAAGAAAACACAATTGAATTGTCTTATTTCAAGTGCATATTATCTAATTATCTTATTTTAAGAGTAAAAATACTCATTCCATTGGCAAACTATCTAATTTACCTACTCAAATTAAGGGTGAATGAATATGCTCAATTCAAGAAATTTTTACTTATTTCTAGCTCGTTTTTGGAGTGATGGACCCTTGGGAAACGCCACGTGTACATTTTTGTGGCCTTTGATGTAAAGTTACCTACCGACACCAAAAAGTCCCCGTGCTGTCAATACTGCCGTGCTTAAAGGGAGTTTAGATTACTGTAAAGCGCTCTGGGTCACATGACCCATTCAGCGACGTATCCGACCCTCTCAAGTTACATAGACCGGATTAGGTGGAAAACATCCTGCTGCATCAAAAAACACCAAGTGCTGTCAGTCATGATGCGGATTTTTACATTTCATTGTAGATCTTATTCTGTATTTTACCAAAGGCTTACAGTTAATACTTTTCTCAGAACAATCCTGCTAGCCTTTCATCTGCTGTATCATGGCACCTCTGACTCCATCTTCATCTTTTGGCAGACGGAGCTCACACGTTAACCTGTGCCCTGATGCTGCTCAACACGGATCTACATGGACATGTATGTGCTTTCATCTTCCTGCCTCCATGTTTTGCTGATTTCTCCAGAATAGGAGGGAGAATTAAAAAACTGTTGGCATGTCTTTGATACCTTTCTACACTTATTTTTTCTGTTTCATCCTCTCCTCCTCGTCCTACTTTCTGACCTGTTTCTGTCCAGTCTGCTTTAGTAGTATCATGTGAAACCGGAGCCCTGCTCTTCAGTCCCATCCTCACTAGAAGTCTTAATGAATACCCCTCTTTTTTAACTAATATCTCTTTTTCTTTCCAATTCCTTTTCCTCCTTTTCTAATCCTTCCCTTGCTAACCAAATCTGGTCCCCTGGTCTCTCTCTGCCCCTGCAGGTGGTGAGTATACTTACCAACTATCACTCTTCCCACAGACATATCCTCCTTTGATCAGCTAGAAGTGGAGCACAGACCACATTTATTGATGTCCCAGATAAAGATCTCTAAAACACAATGAGATAAACTTCTATTTTATTCCAGTAGCATCATATAAAGATCAAAACTGACCAAAAATGCTAAGCAAATCGTCATTTTTAATCAAACCACTGGTGGCATAGTTAGAAGCAAGCTAAAAAAAATCTACCTGAACCACTTTACTTTTTAAATTGATCAGAGCTGATAGGAACAGCTGATTAGTAATCAGTGTCTTCCTGTTTCTCCTAACTGGAACCTATATTTCCAAAAGTTTCCAGTCTTCCAACCTAATATCTGTAGTCAGGTGTTCCTGTCCCTTAAAATCAAACATCTAGGCATGTAGACGTTCTCCAAACATTTGTGTTCAGTATCAGTGCATAGAGAGCTGCATGGGATGGGTTCCAGTGACCGAGCAGCTGCAACCAAGCCAACATCAGCAAGTATGATGCACAGTGTCTGATTCAGAGGAGTGAATCAAACCGAGCAGTGGAGGCACTTCTCTAGAACCACCAATTCCCCATCTGGCAATCTGATGGGCTAGTCTGGGTTTGGCGGTTGCCAGGAAAACTTCTCTGACTGTATTGTGTCAAGAGGAAAATTCAGTGGAGGGAGGATTGTTTTTTTTTTTTAAAGTTTGGCCTCCTTAGTTACAGTGAAGGAAACCCGCAATGCATCAGCATACCAAGAGATGTTGGATATTTCCTCACTCCCAGCTCTGTAGGAATAGCTTCACTGCAAAAGGTGTCATTTTTTCTTAAAATAAGTGCATTTCTTCTTAAATTGAGGAGATTAAAGAGACATTTTGCCAATGGAATTAGACAATTTAGATTTAAAATAAGAAAACACAATTGCATCTTCTTTTTTCAAGTGCCTTTCATCTAATTATCTTATTTTAAGGGTAAAAATACTCATTCCATTGGCATATTATCAAATTTACCTATTCAAATCAAGGGTAAATACACTTCATTTAAGAAATGTTTACTTATTTCTAGATCATTTTTGCAGTGTTGGAGCCCCTCCCTCTTCCAGCATGACTGTGCATCTGTGCTGAACAGCAAGGACCATAAAAACGATGATTCAGAGCAGAGACTGAGAGCTTTTAGAAGAATTTTCAGAAAGTCAAATAAAGTTGATCCTTATCAATTTGGACGCATAAGGACCGCTTTCTAAGAAGAGTTGAAGTTGTTACAGATACAAAACGTGGACCAGCACTGTATAAAACTGTATGGATTCAAGGCAGGTGAGCAAATACTTTGGGGACTATGGTGTACAATACAGTAGCAGCCATTAAAATTGGCCCTTCTAAGTCAAACGCCAGCCGAATGACAGCCCACTTCCCTGCTACTGCCAGCAGAATCCCCTCCAGCTTCCAGCCAATGGAGTGACGCCCTTTTTCTCCTGCGTGTACCTATTTTTTAATTCTGACTCCACCCTTTCACTTAATTACAGGGTCTGACCAGGAAATTATGCTTCTATTTGGAGAATGTCCACAAATCATGACCGAAAGAATATTTTAAAACAAAGATTGATGTTTAAAAAGGAATTGTAGGCTACTACTGTATATGATATGACTGTGTATGATTGAAGGACCTCAATGTTAGTAAGAAGGAATCAGAGATTCATCAAAAAAGTCTAAGCTCCATAAGGCTGTGAAGCTGTATGAATTAGAGCAGCAGGACTTCAGCTTATTCATAAGTTTATCTACCAATATATTTATCATCTGGAATGAGATACTCTGCTCATCATAAGCTCTGTAAACAAAATTTGGAGCATTTCCTTTCCATTTTGAATGCATTGTGAATGAAAAAGACATAACAAAAATTCAATGCTTAAAAGCACCACTTAAGCTCTGTATAAATGCCACTTTAAGATGATGATTTTCTTTTTCCATCTTAAACGTAAATTGAAATCTTGTGCAGTTTTCATAAATACTGCTGTGGACGTGCCTTTCTTTCAGCAGATAACCTGGAGTCATTAACTGGAGTTAACCGCCCACTCCAGTTAATGATTATTAAATCAATAGCACGATTACTTCAGTAATCGATTGATCAGGATTAATCTGATTTCTTGTTTCAGTCCTTCGGGGCAGAAATGAGCAGCTGAACTAGCAGTGACTGAAGAGCCAACTGCAAAAATATACCGAGAAGAAATGATGGGTGGAACAAGAAACAGATGAGACTCATCAGAGAGGCAGCAGCGTAGGGAATAAGGGAACATGACATCCATCCATCCAGCGTCGCTTCCTACCCGTCCTTGTGAGGCTCTGGCCGTGTGAGTGGGGGGGTTATTTGTTATTTGGCCAGAGGCAGGAAACTCCCTGGAGAGGGAATGAAACGGATCGAATGGCAGAACAGTGACCGAACACAGAAACTAGTTAACCGCTGACAAACCGAACACAATCAGCTATGAGAATGACTCAAACCCAGCATCAGCAGGGCGCCTCAGAATAAAGGTAAGGAGGATGGGAAAAGAGAACAGACCAGATAAGGTTAGACGGGTTGAGCAAAATAAAATGGAAAACTACCATTAAGAAACCAGAAAACCTGTTGGAATAAACAGGTGTGTTTAGCTGGAGAGAAGATATAAACACATCTCTCTCTTCTCCAATAATGATGAACCAGATTTCCTCTCAGGTGGATAAAGTCTTGAGATGGCCTGAACTATAGCATAGCAACACTGCCACCCAGTGGAAAGGTTCAAAACTGCAGTCATGTTAGAACAGTATACCCCCCTGCACGCACATTCTCTCTGGATTGTTTTTGAATATTTTCTGTCAAGCTGGATCCCATTAAGGCTGAATTAGATCTCTAAAAAAGTAATTAAAAAAATAACAAATTGATTCAAATGATTTGTTGTTTATTTGTTTGTTTTTCCTTTTCGCTTCAGAACATCGGTAAGAAGATGTCTTGCCAGCAGTTTATAAGTAATCTAGATGGTCTCAACAATGGGAAAGATTTCCCTAAAGATTTATTAAAGGTACCAACATTTGGTTTTCTTTGATTATTTTGTAATATCTCCTCCCTCAGATTTTTTTTGTTTACTCTTTATTCTTATAAATCTAAGTAAACAAACTGTATGAAAACAGTTTATTGATTTCTTCTTTTTTATATATATTTTTATCACAGGTCTTGTATAACTCAATCAAGAATGAGAAGCTTGAGTGGGCAGTGTGAGTACACCTTTAATGCTTGTGAGAAAGTAAAGTATGTGGGTTATGCTGGTGTGAAAGAAGCGAGTACCCTTGAATGCATGCCGCCTGGGTTTATCTCAATGGGTGTCTGTGTGCACAGCGAGGAGGAGGAGCTCAGGAAGAGCCTGTCGGAGTTGGTAGAGGAGCTATGTGAAGGCGGGAGTAAGCGGGTTGCCAGGGTAACGGACGGAAGTAACCCTTTCATCGCCATTCCCATCCTGCTAAACGCGGTCACCTACAAACACGGGGTGCTGACCCGCAAGAGTCATGCCGACATGGATGGCAAGAAAAGTGAGTCAAACGACATTTATCAATTCTTGATTACATCGATTTCCATTCAACGTTTGTTTCTCTTTAAGCTCCAAGGGGTCGCAGAGGCTGGAAAAAGTTCTACGCCGTCCTAAAGGGAATGATCCTCTATCTCCAGAAGGTACTAGATCTCATCCTCTGCTCCGTTGCCATAGAAACAAATCCACCACCGCAGTGACAGCCAGCTGAGCTGGATGTTGCGAGAGCCGCTGTGGCTCGTGTGTATGTGTGTGTGTTTGAGGAAGAGCTGGAGATAAACTGTGAGAAAATAGAATGAGGCGCTGTGTATTTGTCTCCCTCTGCTGGCCGGAAGGCTGCACTGCCCACATGAGTGACCATCTGTGGTAGATTTTATACTTAATGACTGTAATCAGAGGAATACTTTTACCTACACTTAGCTGTAAAAATGAAAGTAAATTATTTAACAGTGTTGTCTTTATTTCTATTTTCTCTTACTGTAATTTCCATCATGTTTACACAGGATGAGTACAAACCTGACAGTGACATCTCTGAGGTGGACCTGAAGAACGCGGTCCGGATCCATCACGCTTTAGCCACTCATGCCACTGACTACAGCAAAAAACCCAACGTCCTGAAACTGAAAACCTCAGACTGGAGAGTCTTTCTGCTGCAGGCCCCGTACGTCTTCATGAAAAAGCATGCGTGAACTTTAAAACAGTCCACCCAAGCTGTGTCGATTTTATTTCCATGTTTTATGCACACTGTTATACAAAAAGCCCTTTATTATCTAATGATCTATATTTAACTGCTGAATTTAAAGGCAATGAAACTTATTTTACAAGATTTTTAATTATCTTCAGATCAGCTTTTGCAGTGTGGTAATAATAAACTTTTTTTTTCTCTGTGCTCTCTACTCTATTCGCTGCAGGAGTGAGGAGGAGATGATGTCCTGGATCTTCCGGATAAACCTGGTGGCAGCCCTCTTCTCCGCTCCTGCTTTTCCCGCCGCAATCGGCTCCATGAAGAAGTTCTCCCGCCCCATCCTGCCGTCCTCATCCACCCGACTCAACCAGGTCTGCATGTCCAGAAGTGTAGATACCAGACTGTGGCTATACAGTATACTGGAACAAACTCACAAGCATGATGCCAAACTACAGTGGCAACTTCCTGACTTTGAGGCATCTTTCTGACTTTAGGGCAAACAGAGGGAAAGAATTATGGAATCACCCTGCAAACTTTAATTTCACAAAACTAACACCTGTATCAGATTATATCTTCTCATAACTCTGCTGTTAAAAAAGGAATCATCACACCTTAGACTGACAATGAAACAGTTGAAACAAGGGAGAGGATTATCACCTAAAGGGGCAAAATATGTTCACAGGCAGCCCGATCAAAAACCTCAGCTAAGTACAAAACAACTTGGAAAGGTTTATAATGAGAAGGAAGAAAGATGGAAAACTTAAAACAATATATCTCAAAAGATGGAAATGCACAACAAAACAGGGAAGAAACTGGGAAAGTCTGAACTGTAAAAAATGGCTGAAATAAATCAGATCTAAGCAAGAAAACCAAAATGGAAAACCAAAACAATTATCAAAACTTGGCTTACTTAGGTTCATATTTTCAAGTATACAGAAGTGTATATATTTCAAGTTTACCAGGTTCATAGATGCAAATATACTAGAAGTTTACCTAAAATATACTTCCTGGCATAAACTGGCCCACTAAGTTTAATATGTAGTGCATTTATAGTCTTCCAGGGATACATTTAGTTTACTTGCAATAACCGTAAAAGTCTACTTGTACTTCATAGACCTAAACCAACATGAACCTTTTCGTTTACTGATTGACATTGCTATGATAATATAATCTTGTTCTGTTGAATATAAAACATTTGCTTGGTTAATATACAGCTATAATCACTCAGAGGATTCTGGGATTTCAGATCTGGGTGGAACATTGATTTCCAGCTCCTCAAGCAACCAGCTGGTTATAATATTTAGAGTCCTAAATGCAGCAACATTGAAAATAACTGGTTAATTTTTTTTTTTTTCAATATCGATATTCAAGGTGTATTTATTCAAATTTCCAGTTGTCTTCTTTGCTTGTAGCAATAATGGGACCAAATTCCCTCCATAAAGAGAAGGATACACAGGGCTAAGGAGAAGCAGTCATAGATTACTGGATGAATTCATATTCAGTAATTAATTGTAAATCATCATCTGGTAAGGTGATGCTGCGGTGCTATATAAGTGAGATTTATAAAGATGACTTCCTGAACATAACGCATAAATTTCCACAGTCTTTGGTGATATGAGGCTGCATGTGAGGTAGGTCTGCTGGGGAGATGGCTGTCATCACATTTTCAATAAATGCTCAAGTCTACATTAATATTTTGGACATTCTTTTGTGTCCCATCAGTTTAAACTCTTTTTTTAATGGTATATAACATATCCTGCTATACAGCAAAACACTAAACCATCCTTGAAGAAAGACTCATAAAGTAAATGTTTTGGCCTGCAAATAGTCTGAATCTTGAAGAATGTGGTCCATAACGACTACCGTTGGTCTCTCATGGAGTCTCTGCTTCAGAGGTTACAAGGTGATAAAAGCCACATGTGGTGCAGAAAACTGCTGCTAGTGTGTTGAAAAATTATTTTGCATTTTTTTTTTTTCTTTACATTTGAGCTAAAAAAAAGTGACAGTTTTTCCTTCATTTTCCTTTTAGTGTTTCTTAAACCTAAAACTTTGACACTTTTTTAGGTGGAACCAAGTATATTTTTGTGTTTTGTATTTTTCTCACCTAATTTAACAACTGAAAGGACTTTCCCCTGAACTGGTGCTTGCATCATTTTTGTCAGGGTTTGCATGAAGTTGCTGCTGTCGGTCTCACTGTTAGTATTTAGTGAAGATTGCATGCATCGTTTCATAGAAGCCAATTCTACTAAAACATGTTTTTGCGTCTCCTTGCATCTGATTGGCTGCTTTTCTGAGATTCCTCTGACTTTTGTTGCTGCAGGAGGAGCAGCTGCTGAGTCACGAGAGCAAGCTGAAGCAGACCAGTTTGGAGCTGGAGGAGCACAGAAAAAACCAGCCCTCGGCCGACCCAAAGAGCCGTGACTGGGAGGAGTACCGGCTCAAAGAGCACTACCTCGCCTACGAGGTACAGACTCTCCTCAGCGATCCTTCATATGTTTGATTAACCTCTTAAAGCAAATCCGAGGGGTCAATATTCCTGTCATCTGACGAGCGCTGCCAATCACTTAGTTCCTGATTTATCTACAGCTTCTTTAAAAAGTGTTTAGGTTTTTGTTCATGTCGCCACTGCAAAGCATTAGTGTATTCTACATCAACACAAAGTAGAAAATAAGAGATGATAGGGTTGGGCCTGTTTTGTAGTGTTTTGTCCTGTTTCTCTCATAGACATAGCTATGTGCTCCGCTTCTACTGTGACTGTTTGGATGTGCTCTGTTTCATCCTTTGACATAAAAATTCACTCAGAGCTCGTCTGTTTAACTTTTTCTTTCCTGGACAGAGCCACCTGTGAAGCTTGTTAGCTTTTCTAACGTAGAATATTCCTTCCAAGCATTTTTTAACTTTCTGTTAAAGGGGAGTTTTAATTGTCACTGTATACATGCTCAGCACCTGGGATTAGTATTCTGGCTCGGTCGTCTATTTTAATAAATTGAACTGAATAGTTTTGTGGAAGGAAAGAGAGAGTCCTCCTTAGTTCTGTACTGCATTAAATCTCATTTTGATTTTGAAATCTTTGCATGATAACTTTGGTTCTAAAGCTTTCCATCCGTTGTCCTGCTGGGAGGCCAAACTCCAGCCTCAACTCTTTTACACAGAACACGATTTCTTTCACAGCTTTAACTTCATACATCTTCCCTAAAACTCTGACTGCCTCGCCTTCTCCCTGCCACATTATGGACTCAACAGAAAGCAGAGCATCCTATTTGATTATAAAGTGAAGTCAGCTTTGAATGGCAAGCCTGCTTACAACATAATTGCTTGACTGAATATTCATATTAGCTAAATCATTCTTTCATAGGTAAAACTTTTCATTTAGATCATCGGTAATTGGATTTCGCTCAGTCAAAGCTGAATCACACCTGTTACTACAGTTCAGACTGATCATATTGACCAGATAGATATCTTTGGGGGTTATTTTGTTTAAATGAATGTTTTGACGGCTTGCCATACTTGTTTGGTGTGAACGTTCCTTAAGGCCTATAGATCAGGACAGAGACATTCAGTTTACTGATCATTCCTTTAGAATATTTTTAGGGTTATTAGAGTAAAGGGGCTGAATATTAATCCATAGCTTTGAAGATTTGTGTATGTAAAACAATAGAAAAAAACACTTATTTTCCATCCACTTATCAATCAACAATGACTTTTGTAAAGTGCTGAAATGTGAAATGTGATTTTATTACCATTTACAGCCTTTAAAGGTATGCTTTGAGCATTTGCATGATGTGCACATCAGAGTTAACATAGACACATTTTACAGTCTCTGACCTCCCTCTGCTTTTTGATGTCTTTGAGCAGAAGACTCGATATGAGACCTACATCAGCCTCCTGCAGGCTAAGATCCGCACCGAGACGGACGACCTGGAGAAGATCGAGGCCAGCGTGATCGGCGGCCTGATCTTGGATGGCAGCTTGGCAGGTCGAGAGTGCCACATTAGAAAAACCCAATCCTCCCCGTCCATCAGCCAATCCCAGAACGGGAGGAGCGCCGGATGCACCGTCCCGGGACAGAGGACCTGAGAAACAGTGAAGACTTTGACTCCGCAGAACCCAGAATACTTAGTAATTAGTATGTTCTGTAAACTGTCACTCCCCAGCTGTTTAAAACCTGATGAGCATCCTGTCCTTGAGCAATAGCTGAAAAAAGCTGCTGAACCTCTGTTCTCTCAGCCTCTTATTGCACATTTGGAACATGTGATCACTGTTCAAAGCGACACCATCAGTATTATTTTACCGCAGTCGCCTAGAAGCACCGTCAGCTTGGAGAAAACGTTCTACGTCGTTTTAAATGGTTGGATGACGGCTGAGAAGGAGAAATCAATCAGCAGACATGGCACCACTGTAGCATCGGCCTGTTTGAACTCATGCTAACACAGCCAGGCACTGACGGGCATGTGTAGTGACCCGACCTACAGGATGGGTAGGTTGTTGAGTGTGAAGAGAAGGATAAAGTCCCTGTTTATGATATTTATTTATTTATTTAACACAGGCTTGTATTCATCCCAGGTAAAGGTAAACATGATGCTTTGTTGTCCTTTTGTTTTACCCCCAGAGTTGTTCTTTGGAGGCTGTAAAATGGATCAAACTGTTAAAGCGAGCTGCTCCACAGAGGAGCTGTAGGTTTAGTGCCTTATTAGAGGGCACCTTGGCTCAGAGAGATCAAACGTCTGCTCAGACTGCCCCAAAATACCAACATGTGTTTATCTATTTCTGTTTTCAGGAGTTAAGAGGATTTAAAGAGGTGATGATTTGAAAGAAATCATATCCAGAACCAACAGAGCAGTTTCTGTTACATTTTGTCACATTTCAAACATCAGGGAATTTTATCAGGATTGTATTTGATAAAGCATCAGAGTTGTGAGTCGTTCCAGAGTAAAAGGTAAAGAGGAGGCTTGACACCTGCTTTTCCTCATTGCTAAATCCAATGAAACATGTTGAAGTTTCTTGCTGTGACGTGGTAAAATGTGCCTGGTGGGATTTCTCTAAAGATCCGCCTTAAGTAGGATAGGATGGTGAGGGATGCTGGTTACGCCGGCCACACTTTGAGCATGTGTTCCAGTTGGATCCCGAAGCTGAAAGAATCAAAAAATAGCAGGGTTTTTGTTGCATGACAAGCTGATTGAGTGAGTTTGGCCTTCTGCTGGCACAATCAGGCCTGGATCTCTCCGAAGGCTCTCTAGCACAAAGGCAGCCTTTATCTTTGTGACTAAACATGCACTATCCAACCCTTACGGTATCTGACCCCACTAAGCTCTGATTTATATGTCCCATGGACCTCTTGTAACAATTCTCTGGTGTGTTATCTTATCCAGCTTTGTTCGAAGCTGGTGTCTTTTTTCTTGCACCCTTCCTGCTCAATCAAAGCGATTTTTTTTTTTTTTTAGGGAAAAAAAAGTTGTCTGATTGTTAAGCGGAGCAGCAGGACTGCTCCTGCTCTGTTTAAGTCAATAAGCCTGTCGGTATGCAGGAATGGAGGAGGAGACGGCAGCAGAGTAGCCTTTAAAGCACTCGTCCTCTTGGTGTGAAGCAGAAGAGACTTGTTTTTGCAGGAAAAGGGTCTGGTTTAGTTTTCATTAGCCTGCTGCTCAAGAACACGCCAAACACACATTCAGCTGATGGGTTCTTTCCACAAAAAAAGAGGGGAAAAACAACCTAATAGGGCAGAGTTTCCTGTAAGGAGAACATGTGCAAGGTGAAGGGGAACATTTAGTAAAAATCAAATAAACATGTTTGTTTTTTTCATGTATCTGTTTATGACACAACTGTAGACCTGTAACTTCAGTGTCCGCTCACTCAGCCCTGGATGCGGCTCAGTTCACGTTACCAGAGCTGATCTGGAAGCTCTGGAGGGACGAACTCACAATGACTGCTGGGGGTCTGGGATCCTTTTTAAGGTCTTGGCTGGAAACCTGGAGTCGCAGCTGGAATCCTGGAAGCTGATTCCCAATCGGACAGGAATCCTTAAGAAGAGCCCGTTTCTGAGGAGGACCTACCAGCTGTATGGTCAGGATGAACAGCCGCTTCCTGCTAGTGTTAATTATCGATTCCCCATGTTCTAGGGTAGGCCTGTGTTGTAAAATAGTTGTGAAAAAAATGTGTTTGTGTTTTTGTTGTTTTATTTAAAGAGAAAAAGACGACTTTGGCACTTTGATGTCAGCACTCGACCTGTCTTTTTGTTTTGTTTGTATATTTGAACTTTTTGACAGAATGCGCATACTATGTAAAGGACATATTTACTGAATATTTAGTCTGTGCTTCATAAAGTAAGCTTTTATACAGTTGACTGGTTGGAATTTATTTAAAAATTGCTTATTTAAAGCGGTGGTTGATATTTAAGACGATGGTTATGGTCTGAAACTTCATTGTAGAGAGACTGAAAGAGATGAACCATGAAGGTGCGTTCAGACCAAACACGGTGTCCGCAGCGAGGTCAGTGGGTTGATATAGTTTTGACTCAATTTGGAGCTTAATGTGGAAATGGTTCACCTTTGGATCACCTACTGTAAGAAAAGATCTTTAATATATTTGAAACAACAGAAACACGTATGATCTTTATTTAATCTATTATTTTTATTTTTACTTTTGACCATTTTAACTACAGAAACCTGCACTAATGAAGCACTAACCGTTAAGTCTACTTGCTGAGTTTTTTTCCCGTGGGTCGGGTGTCGGCTTCATGCAGCTGAAGCTATTTGTCTGTGGTGTAAACACTGGTGAACTCTGTGCTTGTCTGAATGCACCTTGAGACAGATGGATACAATAATTTGAATCATGCAAAAGAAAATACAGAATGAAAAGATGGTGAGACCTTCAGTTAACGTTTTCCTGTTATTTTACCTTTAAAAAATGTTATTTTATTATTTAAAGCTACTTTTTGCATTGCTATTTAGTGGTAAATTATAACTTTATATGAAATCTATTCTTTCCAGAAAAAAAAAAAGCTTTTAAACAAATATGACTTTCTGATCGCAACTTTTAAGTCTATTCATTTGCATTTTTCATGATCCTTTATATTTAAACTAAATTCACAAACTGAAATTGGACTCTTTGTATGAAACTCAATTGTGGAAAATACAAAATATATCCACAGACACAACCATTTGCAAGCTCACGTCCACAGTCCAATCTCAAATGTACCTACTGGTGGAGCCAGGCAGCCTGGGCCATGAGTAACGATGGAGGCAGAACCACCTAATATAACCCCTCAGCTGTCAATTCCGCTGAGACTGGCCAATGGGAACACAGGCCCGCCAATGACACATTTTTCACATCGAGAGAAAAACAATCCTGAATCAAAAGCAAAGAAGAAAAACTCTTGAGAGAAATCTGTTTAAGAGAAAATGTTTTCTACAGAAGACGATTAGGGCCACTGAAAAACAAAGGTTTTTTCTATTTCCATTTAATATGGGAAAAAAGTCAGAATTTTGACTTTAATCTCAGAATTCTGACAGCTAACAAACATGTTAGCATCAAGCTGTAGCCATGTTTGTTTTAGAGACTAAACCAGCTCTCTTGTTTTAATCATCTTCTGCTCTTCCATTAATGAAATAGCATCACCAGGGACCCCTCAGACACATAGAAAGTCACCTCATTCCGCCATTTTCTACCAATGTGTTACTGGCCCCCAAACAACTCTCATCTTTATCAGGAAAGCTGAGTGCTCACACATCTCTTCCTTCATTTTGCAGAATTCTGAGATTAAAGTCAGAATTCTGATTTCAATCTCAGAATTCTGCGATTGAAATCAATCGCAGAACACCCCCCCCCCCCCCCCCCCCCCCCAATACTGGCCCCCCAAATATGGCTTTCACTGTAGAAGGTGTTGTTCGTTGGAGGGCGGACAGGCAGACTATGGTGGTCCTGAGGAGAAGCTGAGCAGACTGTCACAATGTTCCTGAAGTGAACGGCATTCAGATAAGGAGATCTGTCTCCTTTACTCAGCATGACAAGATAGAGTCCCTTCCAAGACTAGAAGGGCTTGGATTATCCAGTGGATCAGTTGATATCCTGCTGGAGACTCAAAAGACAAACTTGGTTTGCACTTGAGAGCTCAGATGAAACAAGAGGGGCTAGAGTACCCAATACTGGCAAACAATCTGGCGAGGAAGTGAAGACAGTCTGCTGCTTAAATACTCCTCAGGAAGTGATGACCCAATAGGCTGCAGGTGTGAGAGGTAGAGAAGAACACAAAAGCCCTCCAGACCAGCAGAGAACAATGGCACCATCTGGTGGATGCATGGAAGAACTGAAAGAGAACAAAAAACAACCCCCACAAACTAGAACCCTAAAAATGTTAAACTGAAATAAAATTTAAAAATCTTTTTTTTTTTTTTCCAGTGGCCCTAATTCTCTTCTGTAGTTTTCACTCTGATTCCAAAGAATATTTGAGAGTAAAAATATACTTTTGACAAAAATCATTTTCCTAATGTCAGTTTATATTTATTTATTCTATGACTTTGTCTCAAAATGTTTCCTTCATAAGTTACGTATGCGTAACTTATGCTTAACTTATCTCCAATGTATATCAACATATTTGATGTGTTCCAGACGACCGCTAAACGTGTTTCTAAATTACAGCTACTGTATTATAGCGTATTGGCAGCATTTTGGTATAAATGGGGTTCACAGGGGGAAACCATCAGTTTCTTCTCCAGACTGCATCCCTATTATAAGGTGAGCAAGAAGGTGAGTGTGAGGAATCCTCCCTGTGTTCACACCCGCAGCCACACCCAACAAACTTAGCAGAAATGACGCTGAAAGAGCCCAACAGATTTTACTTTCACAAGTGGAGCAGTACTGCTATCGCCATAGTGTTCCGCTTGTTTCATGCATATAAATTGCTTTATTATAATTCATGCAGTCATGTATTACAGATTATATGGACACTGCAATGTAAGTAGAACAGGAAAGAAAAAACAGAAAAAAAGGAGAAAAGATGAAGAAAGGGGAGATAAAAGGGAGATAATGATAAAACATCTTCATTCTGCTTCATCACCTGTAAAGAGATGTAAAAAGAACGA